TCAAGTTTCTTGTACCACAAATGATCATTTCTATCTTCTATAGAAGTGACCCACTTTTTAGTGTACAAACCTAGAGACCTAAGGAATCCAACTCTGGTGATGATTGTACAATGGAAATATATTAATAATTACTGAATTGTACACCTAAAAGAGGTGAATTTTATAGTATATATGTTTTATAAATAAAGTTTTGTTAAGTTACCTAAGGGCTGTAAGGGCTCTATTATGTAATTTTTAAGATTACACTCTCTAATCAACATGTAAGTGTATATAATGAAAGTGTCATGTGAGAATTTCTAAGGGATATGGGCAATTTTTTAAAAAAAAAAATTCAGATGACATTAGATATTTCTACAGGTTGCAAAAAGAACCAGCGTCATACAAAGCAAAATATGCAAAGTTAGAGGTCTTCATTTCTTGCTCTTGAGATGCAAGTGAGACCCACATCACAGATAGGTATAGATTTTAAAACCAAAATAGGTTTGGGAAAGAAGTGCCTTCAGTTCAAGCCCTGAGATGTGTTAGCTATATGGCTTTGGGCAAATTAATTATTTTCCCTAACCTACAGGGTTAGGTTGTGCATAACATCTACTCACCAAGCTCAGAGAACAAAAACAATGATGCTTATAAAGCACTCACCATAATATGCAAAGCAATATGTCATTTTCTTTCTCCTCTCCTTTGCTGGAAAGGAGTCATAATGAGCATGAAGCAGATGAAACAGGTGACAGAAGTTCCAGGTTTTGCCTCTTCCCACTTCTTTCTAATCCATATCTTATCACTATATGCTTAGAAGCTTCTATTCTCTTTCCAAAATTATCATTATCATTATTATTCCAAAGTTTCTTCTTAGGCCAAATGAGACAAAGGCAACAGATACATGAATTTTTTTTGGTTTATCAAATATTTTTACAAATCAAATTCACTGCTGAATACACATGTAGCATCCTTCCTATACCTCCAGAGTGATGCTGGAAATCAAGCTAAGAACAATTAGTATCGGTCTGGTCCCTTAACAATTCCTGTTAAGCTCAGTTTCATGGAAGGCATAATAACTTGAAAGCAAGAATGACCATCTCTGCATGTTCAGCAGGGTTACCCTTGAGGGCACAGACTTAACAGAATCCAGCCATGAAACTAGATTATTTAAATCTTTCCCAAGAAAGAGGAGAAATACTTATTTTAATGCTTCATTCAAATACACAACAGAAAACCAATGGACTAATGAATCTGTAATTCTGGGTTCTATTTTGCACCTATTGGTAATAACCATGTGATATTCACCAAGTCCTTTCCATATTAAATTAGTATAGCTCAGTGTTAGTCACTTTCCCATTATTTGGGCAAAATACCCACCACGTGTAACTTAAAGAGGAGAGGTTATTTTGACTCATCGTTTCGAAGGGATCAGTCCACAGTCGCCTGACTCTGAGATGGTGGAAAGGCATGGTGAAGGGAAACTGCTTAGCCAATGGAAGCCAGGAAACAGAGAGAAATGAAGAGCCAGAGAAAGAGATATCCTCCAAAGACATACTCCCACTGACCCATATCCAGGCACCATTCCTAATACCACGTATAGATATGACCTCCTTAGTAGATTAATCCCCTGATCTTTATAGTGCTCTATCACCCAGTCACCTTCCAAAAGCCCTACTTTTGAACAAATGAAATGGGGGGGGGTAGATCGGAATCAAAACATTCTTCCCCTGATCCCTAAGAGATTCATATTCATCTCATTATACTATATGGATTTAGTTCACCTCCAAAAGTCACCAAAATCTTAACCATTTCGGCAATGCTCAAAAGTTCAAGTCCAAAGTCTCCTCTGAAACTCAAACTCTTATTTGTAAGGCCTTTAAAAGTAACAAAGCAAGTTAAATCTAACATACAATAGCATAGGGCAGTGATGGTGAACCTTTTAGAGCTTTCAGTGAAACAAACAGCCCGCTGTGGCATACATGTCATAAGTTCACCACCACTGGCAGAGTAAACATTTCAATTCCAAGAGGAAAGGATAGGAGGACAGAAAGGATATGAATGAAAAACTAGCAGGGCAAACATTAAATCCTGTCGCTTCACATCGAGCACCTGGAGCAGGTTGTGTTGAGATGGGCTTGAGCATTCCCACCTCTGTGGCCTTCAGACTGCAGCCCACATGGTCTTTGTCTTGGACTGAATTTGCTGTCTGCAGCTTTCCTCAGCAGGCATTCCATATTCCTTGCATCTCCAATTCCTTGGAGTCTGCAGTACAACTTTAGCTAATTCTCATAGCTTTACACATTGCTCTTGTATGGGGCATAGTTCCTGGCCTCCCACACCTTACTCTGAAGTTGGACTGGAATTTTCCAAGATCCCACAACTCTTGCATTCCGCATGCCTGTAAAACCAGCCTCATGTGAATGATGCCAAGATCTGCTGCCAGCTCTAGCAGTAGCCAGGAGTTAAAGCATTGTGACGAGCACAATTGTGATCAGAGGATCACAGTTTTCCCCAAACCATCACCTCCAGCTCCTCCCAGTAAGACCAGCACCCCTCTGTTCTACAGATGGCCTGTGACTCTGACTCACTCTTAGGTCTGCCTTCGACAGAACGGACCTGAGATCAAATTCACAAATGTCTGAATTGTTTTCCAAACTGATACTATGCAGAGTATGACCAGAACTGAACTTGATTTACTGCAGTGATGTGGTTGATAAACATCCTGAATGCAGCAGAAGCCACAGAAGAACCAAGGCTTCACTGAGAAGGATGCAGAGACACCCGTCTCCTGGGGCCCAGAGGAAGCCCATTCTACTCACTCAGGTGTATCCCCCCACCACATCTTCCTCTCCCTCAGAAAACCATTTCTGACACTTGGTTGACACAGCTAGATAACACCTGGGATCCAAAAAAAGGATCAAAATGATGGTGTTTTGCTGGCAAAGTTGGAGTAGCAGAGCCTTCCCTCAGAGCAGCCTGGTCCTTGGATCAGGGTCTTCCCACTCTTAAGAGCCAACTGATGAAGCTCTCCACTCACCAAGCAGCCCTCAGAAGCTCTAAATACATTAAGAAAGGAAGCTGCATGGGCGTGTAAAGCTTGTGAGGACCATCAAGGGTCACATCTCCTGGATGCCACTTGTGGTTCAGCAACCAACACCTGAAAAAGGCCCTGGGGCTGTAGCTCACTTCTACCTCCAGTCCAGACAAACTCTCCCCACTGTGCTGCTCCTGGAGGGAATGAGGGACTTTCTTTCTGGGGAATTGAGAGCCCTGTGTACTCCCCGCTGCAAATTGACTCCAATTTCTCCAAATTCTCTCCAAATAAAGCCCTTTCTTCTGTCTTCCTTCAACTCCCTTGACAAAAATACCTGCAAAGATTTCTTTTTCAGTACTGGGGATTAAATCCAGGGCCTTCACACTGAGGTACATCCCTAGCCCAACCCCTCACCCCCTGTGGCAGACCAATGAATGGTCAACCTGAGTGGGAACGCCCAACTCAACTGGGTCAGCATGGTTCTGGGCCTGAACATTGTTACACAATGACATAAAAAGGGTGTAGGGTGGGGAAAGGGGTTGCATGCTATTGGTTTTCCGGGAGAAGCTTGCCACGGTGGTTTTCCTGATACAAACTCAGCTGTTATCATCATTGTCTGAGCTCAGATCCTTGTTGTCACCAAGGACGGCTGCTGTTCTTTTCCAGGGAGCTCTGGTCTTCACCTTGACCCTTGCTTCCTGGCTCCATGCAGATCCCTCAGCCCCTGGTACACCTTCTGGTGCACCTGGTATGCCTTCACCCTGCCTGGTGGCCCAGGCTTTCTAGCTTCTGCCACTGGCCTTTGGGCCTTCCAGATACAGATCTTCAATAAAGATTTGCATGAGACATTGCCATGGGCTCTAGGCCTCCGGCTGGACTTGCGCAGGACACTGCCTTGGGATCCAGCCCTAGGCTGGATTCTTCAGGTCTCTAGCACCATGGATAGATCTCTTGAACTCCTTTATATTTGACTTTCTGGATGAATGTTATAAAATAATCCTGAAAATTATCTGTCCTGTATTAAATCTATTCCCTTGCAAGCCATGACTACAACAACCCCCTTTTTAAATGTTGAGACGTGGTCTTATTAAGTTGCTAAATGGGCCATATAGGACTTGAATTTGAGATTCTCCTGCCTTAGTCTCCCAGAATGCTGTGATTATAGGCACGCACCACTATGCCTGACTCCTGCCAAAGAATTCTAAGCTTTGGTTTCAGATCCCGCCCAGTCTCAAATCCACTCACATCTCTCCATCCCTGCAGCCACCTCCCTGGCTAGAGCTGCAAATTCCCATCTCTAGAGCCCCTGGGGCAGCTCCTACTGCTTCCGGGCCTCTGCTCTGCCCCTCTCATTTCACTCCCCCAGACCAGCCACAGATACCCTTGCCAGACTCAGCACACAGTTCTGTCATCCCTTGTTCAGAGTATTCAGTGGCTTTTCAGAAAAATGCCAGAATGAATGACACTGTCACCTTGACCTCAATCCACTGAAAAATTGTGGAACATTAGAAGATACGAGAGCAATGAATTGCTTGAAAAATGAGGGAAAATACGAGATTCAAGGGATAGGAAATTGTTCTGTCACGCTGCAATAAAAGCTTCTATTTTGTGCGTGTCTCATCAGACCTGAAATCTGCTGCACAGGTATTGTCCCGGGCACAAGGCCCTCTGAGAAGCACTTGCAACTCACAGCTGTTCTCACCCTGAGGCGCCTGCCTCCTTTCACGAGAATCCTTCCTCACTCCCTCTCTGGTCAGTGTGCCCACCTTCCTCTCATTCCTGCTACCTGCTTTTTTCTGCCTGGTGGCTTTTTAGTTTTATTTTTAATTGACACATAATAATTATACCTACTTAGGAGCCATGGTGTGATACTGAAATACATGTATTAAATATGCAGAGATCACACCAGAGTAATTTTTGGCATAGCTAACATCTCACCCACTGATCATTTCTCCACATTGGGAACATTCCAAATCCTGCCTACTTACGGTGCTGAATTATCGCTACCATTTACCATGCCGCTTCCTCGACCTGGGACTTTCTCCTTCTTCCTCCTGCCTCACCATTTAGTGAGTTTCAGCTCCTGCAGATTGTAGCAAATGTCAATCGCTCAGGAAAGCCTGCTCCCCCATACACACACACACACACACACACACACACACACACACACACACCACTCCCCCTGCACTTGCCCGCTGAGCAGAGTCTGGGAAACTGGGAAACTGTCGGCTCTAGCAGAACCACACTTCACCCCTTCAGCACAGTGATCTCAGTTTGTATTTAGTCATGAATGCACTTATTTGCATTCTACTGTACCTGTGTCCCCTCTACAAGTTCCACGAGAGCAGGTCTCCATCACTCTGCTCTCCCCGTACTTCCAGCATCTATCTGTACGGGGCTCAGGCAACTAGGAGCATTCGGTAACAATGTGGTGCAGGCAAGAATGAAATAACCTAGTCATTTCTGATTCATCAATACCCTCCTTTTCAAACCAAGCTCATTTCTTACCAAGATTTCATTTCTGTCTCTGTATCTATTCCCTCTCTCCCTTTCCCCCCCCCTCTCTCCCCCCTTCCCTCCCCACCCTTCCTCTCCCATCCCTGTATTAGAGATTGGACCCTGGGATGTCCCCTCCCCTCTTCAGTTTTTACTTTGACACAGCATCTCCCTAGGTTACCCAGGCTGGCTTGGAGCTAGCAATCCTCCTGCCTCAGCCTCTGGAGTAGCTGAGATTACAGGTGTGTACCACCACTCCCAGCTTCCCATTCCTTCTTCCTGGCTGTCTGGCACCCTCTGTGTTCCCCTTAGTTCATGTCCCCCATCCTGCCCTGTCCTGCCCTGTCCTGTCCATCAGTTGTCCCCTCTGCATGCTTCAGTCCGTACAGGGTTAGCATCCTCTAAACAAACATTCACACCGATGTCAATTCTGCATTCCATGCAGCATGTCACATAGACACACACTCTACAAATGAAGTTTGGACCACCTCTCCCAATCACATACCAGAAACGGGTAGGTGTAGAGGGCCAGACTAAACGCAGGATTCCCGTTGTTAATAAGTCAGTGGGACGCAAGCTCCAGGTGGCTCTTCCACTTGCCCAAGTCACAGTACGGAACCACAGACCTGCATGTTGAAGAGATACCACTTCTGAGAGCTTCTCCTGGCTTGTATCAAACAACCAGGGGCATCAGAAAAAGAGGCCAATGTCACACAAGAGAAGTCCTGAACTCGGCCAGTGATTTGCTGTATGGCATGACCAAGTCATCTCCCCTTTCTGGGCCTTGTTTTCCTCATTCACAACATGAGACTTATTCATTGGCCTCTAAATTCCCATCTAATACACTTGACAAATCTGCAGAATGCTATGATTTTCCAAACCATACACTAAATCTCACGGTCATCGCAAATCATTGGATTGACTTATTCAATAGATACTTATTGAGCATATACTCAGTACCTTCAAGATGGGCCTTAGCCAATGAAGAAGACCGGCTCAATCCTCCTCCTTCTGGTGTTGGAGAGGAGCCAGATACTAAATAAATAAGTTCTTAATTAGTAACTATAATTAAGGCCAGAGAGAATCTGTGCAGCATCTCCTAAGAGTCAGGCTCCCTTGGACTGTGTGGGAGGCTGCTGTCTAGAGAGACTAACACTTGCCACACAGTTCTCGCACATGGCTGAAGCCAAAGAGTCCCCAAGTATCTCATTTAGCTGTGTGGTGGCTGTAAGACTAGAGAGGAAAGAACTACACACACACACACTGTGCACATGGGCTTAATCTGCTAGGAGAAGAGTGCTCCTTCATGCACAAGGTCTATAACCCTTCCACACCCCACCTCTGAGGACAACAAAACTCACTGCATTTTCTGTGTCCATCTCACTGGAGTCAGTGCTGTCGGCCATGTCCACATGGTGCCCCAGGGTTCTGGGCACAGTGCTTGGTGCACACCAGGTGTTAAGAGTGTAGCTCAAGGAATGAATCCCCATGGGTGATGAACCCAAAGTCAAGAGGGTTCCCCAAGCCCTAAGCTAGCAAAAGTGACCCTCAAATCCAGGCTTAAGGTTAAAGAGAGCAGAGGGACAAGGACAGACAAACCACTATCAGTTCTCCAAGCCTCTGGCAGTCCTTCATCCCCTCAGAGCAGCCTTCAGGTTGATGATAAATAGACAGACAGACAGACTCTCCAACCGAGACTTCATGAGAAAAGAACGGCTATACAGCTGCTTCTCATATGGAACCCAACGCTGTCCAGGTCTCTAGCCAGGTTATAAAAGTGCTGCGCCACAAAGGAAGATTCAGCATGAAGCTTTGTATCATCAGAGGACAAGAAGGCAGCACAGGGGCACAGGCTGCAGGCTTGGACAGGACAGCGGTGTCCTCAGCGTGTGTCTGCCCAAGCCGCAGCCCGCACTCCTGACATCTGCTCAGAGCTGCCCTTCCTGGGGAGTGAGCACTACAGTCAGCTCCAGCTGCTTGGTAAAAACCCCATGCGGCAGATGATCGTTCCCCTGGGCATCACAGATCGGGCACAGACGACAATACTGGGGAACTTGGGGGTCACTGGGGTCCAGCCTTCTGTGAGCACAGCCATGGGTCAGTCGTCCTACGGTCTGGGGAGGGGAGGGGTATCCAGAAGTACACCAGGCAGTGCTTCCTAGAGAAACAGATTTAATGCAAGGTATACGAATACATAAGAATGTACATGATTAGCTTGTAATGGCCCACAGAGTTGTGTGTGGAGGAAGAGTGCAAAAGGGCCATCTGTGCCCTGGAGACCTGAAGGACCCAGCCAAAGGCCTGGAGCCCACGGTAGTGTTCCACGCAAGTCCACATCAAGAGCCCAAAGGCTCTGCAGAGGAAGGCTGTGAGTTCTGTGCTGGAGCTGAGGAGCCTGCACTGGAAGGCAGGAGACAACATCCAAGGTGAAGGTGAAGACTGCAGCTCCTCGGAAAAACCAGAAGCGAGCCCTCCTTCTTTGTCTCCCTTCATACCATTCTGGTGACAAGCCTCCCTAGGATGGTCTTCCACGCTCACAACAGAGCTGAGCCAATGTAGCTGGGCATTTCTTATCCAAGTTAACGCAATCAGTTAACTCTCACAGGAGCAAAATGCTGCCACCAGCCCCAACCCCAGGGGCAACTGGGCAGAGGCAGGTAACCCCGGTGGGGACCCAGGTCCAGAGCACCAAGCAGAGTGTCCACTGCAGAACGACCTCGCTAAAGCATATGTGACAATGAGGGCTAAGCCACCACCTTGGGGCCTACCCCTGGGGAAAGAGATAGAGCTGAGATCAAAGGTGATCTCTCAACAAGGGGGTAGGGCCATCTAATTTGCTGCTGTACTTAAAGCATTTGGCCCTGGATATAGTGTTTGTACAGTAATGGGGGTGGGGGGGCAGAGAGACAGAGACAGATGGGCAGACAGACAGAGACAAAAAGAGAAGAAGAGAGGAGAGAAGAATGAATGATAACAGTTCTGGCAGTCAACCTAGGAGTTCATAATCTTGGTCACTACTAACTGAACACTTACTAAGTGCAAACCTTGTACTAAATAGAATATCCCTGAGAGGAATGTATTGTATAGTTGAGCAAATTATGGCATAGCAAAGTGAATAATTTGCAGAAAAAGACACTATGCCAAGAGATTCTAACTGATTCATGCATCTGAGCATTTAACTGTCATGTTTTTCAGCCAACCCACCCAACAAGCTATAACTAAAGAAACAAGGAATGTTAGTGTAGAGAGAGGGAAGAAAAGACACCTTTCTGAGAAAGTGGAAGAGCACAGACCTATGTATAACATGGAAATGAACATAGGGACTATTCACTAGCACTACCCTCCCTCAGAAGCCTTCCCTGTTTCATCTAATTCCCTTGCAACACACCTCCTTTCTTTGAGTACTCATCACCATTTTAGTCAAACAAGCAGTGGGGGATGTGGTCACTTAAACATCTATGTCACTTTATAGAACATAGGTCTATGGGAGAAGGAGCTGTGACTATCTTGCTACTGCTGTATCTCAGTGTGTAATACAGTGCCTAGCACAGAGTAGGGCTCAGTAAGTATTTTTTCAATATGTAACTTAAGTAATTGCTTAATTGATAGTGAAGAAAAAATTCCCTGTAGATGAAAATAAATGGTAAGACACTGTTGTAGTTACTTTCTCATTGCTGGACAAAATACTCAACACCTACAAGTTAAAGAAGGAAAGATTTATTTTAGCTCACAATTTGTAGAAGTTTCTGTCCATAGCTGGCTGACTTCAAAGCAGGGCAGCATAGTAGAAAGGCACAGCAGAGGAGAAACAGTCCATAGCATGGTAAGCAGGAGGCAACAAGCCTGCTTTCCTTCTCTTTATATTTTATCCAGGCTACAAGCCCATTTGTGCCATCCACACCCAAAGTGGGGCTTCCCACTTCAGTAATCCCATAACCCAGTACTATGCTAAACCAATCAGTGGACTAATCTAGTTATCACACCCATAATCCAGTATCACACACCCAGGATCCAGCCACTTTCCAAAAGCCGCACTTATGACTGCATGAGGCTTTGGGGGGATCTAGATTTAAACCATAACAGATATTAAGATGTGACTTGAAGACCAAGGAGAAGAGCTTCATTGTGATACTGTGAGTAACAGCCACTGCAGATTCTTGAACTCATCTACATAAGGATATCCAATCAGATTGAGATGAGACATAAATCAGCTAAGGGAGAACAAGATGTTCTCTCCCAAATATTACCAATATTCAAATCAGGACCAATGGCTGAGGTGACAAAGATCTTGTGACAATGGGAGCAAAAATGCAGAAGAGATAAATCAAGGGAACATATGGATGCAGGTTTTTTACCCAGGACATTTCTCATCAAAAGTTAATAAGCAAGTAGGGACATAAATCTAGGTCAGTGGAAGAAACTGGAGGGGATCAGACATAGCCCAGCTCTTTAAACTCTACTTCTTCCCTTTATGGAAGTTCACATTTCATGGAAACTCACATGATGTCAAACAAGGGCAGAAAATATGTTTCATTATCATTCCTTTCTAAGACCTATGCATGACCAGCCAGGAGTAAAAAATAACAAGTTTCTGAAGGCTTCCAGAGGACTCTGCAGCATTTCCCAATGAATCATTTACTCATCCACAACTCGCCACCCACAGTTCTAGATCACTGCTCTGGAGGAAGATGACACCAGCACAAGGCCTCCGCCCACTCTGTCTCTTCCTCTGCTGCACAGAATACAAAAGGGAACACTTTGAGCAGTAAGACTTTGGGTTAGCTCTTTAGATGTTTGCTTATTATACACCAAACCTTAATTCAAATCCCAACTTTGACATTTACTAACAGTGAATCGCTGGACAACTTAGCTAATGATATACAGACTGCCCCTTAGAGACCCACGAACCAGGACTGCAGAACAGAAACACAAGTCTTACAGGAGGATTTTTCTCCATTGCACGGACATTCAGTAACCACCTTTTCTATGCCAGGCACGGTGCTAAGGGCTGGGGAAAAAATGATGAGCAATACTAGAGACTCTGCCCTAGTCTGGGAAGACATACATAATAGAAAAAAATGCAATCAAATGTAAAATTACAACTGTGCCAAGTGCTACTAAGGAGAGGGCCAGAATAACACAGGAACCTATAACATGGGATTTAAACTAGTTAAGGAGGTCAGGCAAGGGTTAATCTGAGACCTGGAGGAGGAGTAGGTATCATTCAGGTAGAGATGGGATGAACATACTGGGCAGAGCGATGACTATGGACCAAATATCTGTGGTAGAAGCATGGTGAGAGGGATGCAGGACAAGAGAGTCAGGGTTATGGTTTGGATCAAAAGAGTACCCCAAGGCTCATCTGTTAAAGGCTTGGTCACCAACCTGGAGTACTAGTGGGAGGTGGGGCCTAGTAGAAGGAAGATAAGACATTGAGGGTGCCCTGGAAGAGGATATGGGGCCCCAGCCTCTCAGCCACCAGGAAGTAAACAGCTTTGCTACACCACGCTTTCCTACCACGTGTTGTGCCTCACCAGAGATACAAAGACACAGAGTCAAGCAACCACGAACCAAAACCTCTGAAACTATAAGCCAAAATAAACCTTTCCTCTCTATAAGCTGATTA